TAATCTTGATCCTCATGAATATTTTATAAATGCGGAGAAGTGGATTATTAGAAATTACACTTTTGTCGATGATCAACATATCAATTCCTTTAAAATGATTAAATACTAACGATGACAATACAAGCTCTACATCGCCCTTAATTACCTAAGTAGCTTATAGTGGCCTAATTAAACTAAAATTTGTTCATTCTTTCATTTTCATTCTTCCTTTTTTTTATTTTTAATCTCTAACTAATCACAACACCTCCCAACGACATTAGAGATGACAATTTTGCCCATACCCATGGGTATTTTACTATCCAACCCAATTGGGTTGGGTATGAAATCCAAATATATGGATATGGGTAAAGTTTGATGGGTTTGTACCCATACCCATTTACTTTGGGTTGGGTTGGATTTATAACAAATGGATTTGGATTTGTACCCATGCCCAAATACAAATTACAGTTTGGTACCTAAACTTAATAGATATGCATATTTAGAACCTAAATTTAATTTTTTTTACATATAAGTCCTCAAAATATCGATGGAAAATTGCATTTTGGTACCTAAATTTTTTTGGTCTTACATTTTGGTACCTAAACTTTTCAAGTTTTACAAATAAGTCCAATTTTTGCATGTGTAGTTAAAACACCCTCAAGTAAATGGATATCCATATTCAACCCATACCCATTTAGATAATATCCATATCTAACCCAAACCCATATACAAACCCCAAACCCATACACACATCACCCAAACCCTACCCATAATAAATGGGTCTGCTTGGGTTTGGGCAAAATTACCCATGGATGGGTAAATTGCCATCCCTACACGACATTGCTCCATGAGGTTTTCGCCCATTACGAAAATTTCTTCACTGCTTGCTCCTGTAGGAGTCTAATTAGTCAGACCACTAGAACTATATAGAGAGGGGATGCTAAGGTATTCCACCCACCCACGAGACCACCCTATGGCACACATATGCAAAATTCCAAGAGAAGAGAGGAAGTTATCAATATGTACATGTAAATAAGTTGATATGAACAAGGTATATGCAAATTACACATATACCTTCCAATGGAAAGAGCAATAAGGTATATACACATTACACATATGCAAAATTCCAAGAGAAGAGAGGAAGTTCTCAATATGTACATGTAAATAAGTTGATGATACCAATAAGGTATATACACACATTACACATATACCTTCCACTGGAAAGAACAAACCTAGAGACTAGAGCAGAGAAAGACAGAAAGAGATTGTAGTGAGAGAGAATGGTGTGGGGGTAGAGAGAGATGGATTGGGTTGGGTGGAGTGTATTCCAAGACACAATGATTACATGGTCTTGTGGGGAAGCAAGAAAGGTTGGCGTGGTTGGAACTAGTAGTATGAATATAGCCTTAGCCTTGTGAGAGGAGAGAGAGGATGGAACAACGTGGGAAAGGGTTTAGGGCCAGAGGCTCGGCCCCCTTGACCACCAGAGGGAAAACCCACCAAAGAGTGGAAACAGATTTGTCTATCATGACAAAGAAACATTAATCAAGTAAATCATAAAATTATTGAAAGCAAAATCTAGATTAATTGGTCACAAACAAAAATAAATTTTGTGAAAATGATATTTTTTTTATGAATAATATATAGAATTAAAACTAGAATAATTAACAAGCAAATCTAGGTTAATTATATTACTCACAGCAAAAAAAAAAAAAAAAGTTGAATTCAAAAGTAATACTAAAAGTTTGATTCCATCAGAGTCATAAACTAAATCTAAATCTAAGATTATAGGTTAATTAGTAGAACAATTTAACCACTTCGGCTACAAGACTCGGTTTCTATATGCACTTACTTTGCAGAAGGTACATTATTTTTCATTTTTCTGGTAGGGGTGGTGGGCACCCGTGGCTTGAGTGGATTTTTAGATATTGATTTCACATTGACTCATTCGCTACTGACTAAGGACTTGATATAATTGTAGCCTGCTATTATTTATCTACGTTTTGTTTATAGTTAGATTTGATGAATGAAGGATGAATACGGTTAGATTGAGGGTTTGAGTCACTAGACAGATTAACTAATATTTACAATAAATTTCTCACAGATTAAAAGGATTATAGCAATAAAAAGCACATCCCGTTTTGCCTCTTGTGGATCTAACCAATACTTGTGAAGTGCAAAGTGTCTATTACTCTTACAAATTCTTTAATTATTCACCTTTAATGAAATACTCGCTGATAAATGACAGAGAAAATAAAATTTAGTAATCACATAACCAGTTCGAAAATTGGAGGATGACGAGCAAGGTTGTCAATTTGCGGGTCGATCGACCCTCCAATTTATCCGGATTGACACGGACATGGTGCGGGAAATAGGCGCCACGCACCGACCGGGTTGACTCACAACAAGGTTTTCAGACAATTAATCTCACCTCTCCTATTCTCTCTAGAAAACAGACGATAAAGAATTAGCTATTTTATATAATTGGGAAAAAATTTAATAAGAAAGCAAGTTTTTCATTCATGTGGTCCTTTCGTTCTTTTAGCGTTCGAAATTAATTATTTGTATTGTTTTAAACATACAATCAAATTCCAATGTATTAATATAATATTATGTTAAATTCATAATTAAAACTTAATAATAAACAATAAGAATTAATCATATACATAATGAAAAATCTAGAGCTCTTCATAATTTGGAGGTCACGTGACAAAGGACCTCACAGCACACCCACATAACCCCGCTACCATCACCTATCCGAATAAGTACCGATAGAAGATTTATCCATCTACAATCCATCCACATTAATTAGTAATCACCCACTCATAGTGATTTGAGTTATTTACACCACTGATCAGCCTCCACACTTGCCCAGTTGCCCCCTACTTTCTGGTGTATCCATATCTTTATGCATTTTTTCTTTGAAATTAGTACCGGTGATTAAGTTGGTCGGTCGACAAACTGTGTGGAGTGGAGTTGATGCGGTGCCTGTCTTCCGTGACTGCCTTCTTTGTTTCTGTGTTTCCCGTATTTAGGGCTGGAAGTTTGGTACTGGTATTTGGGATATACCGAATATCGTACGGAATTTATCACTATTTGGTATTACCGAATACCAACTTATTTTTTAGAGATTGGGATTCATTTTGGAGTGCTATTCGGTATTCGAGATTACGGGATTGAGATCAGTATATACCAAAATACCGATAAATACCGAAAAATTAAAGATTAATGGAATATAGCACACAACATTTAGTCATTCCTCACTCTTTCACAACTTAGAAGCTCGCATCAAACTCAATTGACTTTCCGGTTTACATCACTCTCGTCTCTCACTTAATCTCTTGTTATTTTCATAACACCAAAAAAGAAAACACTAGTATTAATAGTCTCTCAACCTGCAATTCGTTAAATTAAAGATTACCAATGACAAGAACTCGAGATGTCACCTCTCCTCCATTCTCTTTATCCATATTCTAGCTCTAGGAAAACACAAGACTATTTGCTTAGTCTCTTTGCCCTAAATTAAACAATCAAATCTAATTTATATATTTTATTATGAATTGCAAAAGTAATTAATTTTGTATTCGAAATACCGATTGTGATACTGAAGTACCGATTGAGATACCGAAATATTTAGGGATTGGGATACCGAAATTATTTAGGATTGGGATTGGGATTGAGATTGACTTTAGGATGTAATTCGGTATTCGAGATTTCGGTGTTTGTTATTGGAATACCGATACCGTACCGATTTCCACCCCTACTCGTATCCACCAATTTACAACATGCAATAGAGTGCAGTTAAACCAACAAAGGGTTGTTTTTGCTTATGAGACACCGTTTTGTTAAAGATAAAATGTCAGTTAAACCAATAAAGTGTTAACTGTATGCTACACCAATTTATACTTCGTTTATGACTTTTTGACAATATTTCACATATCCCTATAGACCGCGCGCAACTCATCACGCATGTGTGAGTTTAAGTTCTTCGACAGAGGTTATCAATTATTCCATGAGTCCATCAACTTAATTATAGAGAAAATAATAGTTATTCTGACTTCAATACTACTAATTGCTTGTAGTTTGAATCTCACTTACATTAATCACTCACCCTATTTGAATTATTTGCGAAAGAATTGATATAAAACCACTTATCAACCTCTTGCCCACCCTACTTTTCTGGTGTATCCCTACCTTTTTTTGCATTTTTTCCCCCTTCTTTTCATTAGGGCCGGTAATTAAATTGGTCGGTCGACAAACTGTGTGGAGTGGTGTTGGTGCGGTGTCTGTCTTCCGTGACTGCCTTCTTTCCTTTGTTTTTGTGTTTCCCATCGCCACCAGACCACCACCACTACTACACACACTCACTCACTATACTTCTCTTTCTCTTTCTTACTAACACTGCATAACTTAACAACCAATCATACGGTAACACACCCAAAATATTTAATTCACTGCTCATCGATTAGGATTTAGAAAACTAGCTGGTAATTATATTAAGAAAAAAACGATTCATCTTCTTCTTCTTTTCTTTCCATTCCGATTCCCGACCTTTCTGTCACAAATGAATGAATCATCCCAATGTTGTTTCTCCTGGCTCTATAAACTTGGTACAGAAAATGAGAGAGGTCGACATACATGGCGTAACCCCAAAGGAAAGCAAGACTGTTTTATTGTACATTTTAGGAGTAAAAACCCCATCATTATTATCATATGCCCTTTTTTTCGAGCCTAAAAAAAAAAGGAAGCCGAGTGAGTCTACATTACAACATGCAATAGAGTGCAGCTGCGGCAGAAGATCATCATTTCATTTCAACCAGCACCACACAGAGACACAGAAAGAGAGCTTTTTTACATTATAAACAAAAAAACAAAAAAAAAAAACAAGAGAAAGGGAAAAAGAAAGGTGGAGAAGAAGAAGAAGGAAGGGGTAGAAAGAAAAGGCAGCCCCAGACCCAGCAAAAAAAGAGGATAAAAAGGCTCGCTTCAACCATCCATCGCCATCACCTTCAATTCTTCATCATCTTCTCCACCTCCAAACCACCACAACACATAACCCTTCTCCTTCCTTCCTTCCTCCTTAGATATATTCTTCAGTAGTCCTAACTCGTCAACAGTTGTTTTTTCGGTTTTGGCTTCCCCTTTCCTACCATCTTTTTTCCTCCACTAAGAATATATATATTTGGAAGATATACTGAAAAAAGCACTATCTACAACTTGTTGTCGATATATCCTTCCTTTGAAAAATCTACCTGTCTGTCTATCTCCTTCTCCTACCTTCTCTACCACCAAGGGATGTATTTCAGCCTAAGCTAATCCACCAACCATGATCATGAACATATGATTATGTGCGGCCTGAAAGACGACAACAACGACAAAAACCAACAGCAACAAGAAATGCATCACAGCGACTCTACAGCGGCAGCCTGCTTCTACGGCGGAGGAGGAGGAGGAGGAGGGCAGGGACACGGTGTCTTCCAGGAGCTGGCTTCCCCTTGGGCGTATCATAATCCCGCCGTCAACTCATCATATCAAGACCAATTCCTCATCCCGCCGCCTCAGTCATCGTCGTCTTACGGTGGGTTCTTCAATCGAGGCCCGTCTTCTTTGCAGTTGGCGTACGACGTCGGATCGTCGGCAGCGGAACACCTGAGGATGATATCCGAGACGTTGGGCCCGGTGATCCATGGTGGTGGTGTGCCGTTTGGACTGCAGGCCGAGCTGGCCGGGAAGATGACCGCTCAGGAGATTATGGACGCCAAGGCCCTGGCTGCTTCCAAGAGCCACAGCGAGGCCGAGAGGCGGCGCAGGGAGAGGATCAACAACCACCTCGCCAAGCTCCGCTCCTTGCTCCCCAGCACCACCAAAGTACGTTATTATTTGCCACCATTGATTCACTGCACTCACTCATTCGTTCATCCCATCTCTTCTTACAAGTTACAATGATAAAACCAATCTTGCACATTCAATTATCGGCAGAAAAACCCTTTTTCCTGAGGTGGGTTGTTGAAAAAATGTGTTTTTGTTAATGAATTTTGAGGAAAGGAATGATCTTTATAGTTTATACTGAAACTTTGCTTTATGGGTTTGAAAGTCGGTTGCATTTTTGGGGGCTGCTGGTTCTAAAGCTGTGTCCTTTGGGGTTCCTTTTGGAATCTGATATTACCCTATTTATTTGTGTCAAGAAGGCATATTGAATTTTTGTGAGTTTGTGAGAGTTCCAAGGAAGGGGAAGGGGAAGAGGAAGATCATGAGGGGAGAGGTAGAATAAAGGACAAGAGAGGAAATGGAAGAAAGAAAGGGGGGTAAAAAGAAGGAAGGAAAGGAAAGGAAAGGAAAGGAAAGGAAAGGAAGCGAAGCCCGAGAAGAATAAGGAAGGCGGAGGAGGCTTGATACTGTTATTGTCTCAGGCTTGACACAATAAAGAGGAACCAGAAATGTTGGCTGGCTGGATATTGCAGTTCCTAAAAAGCTTCCATTCCTGCCGGCCGCTTCTTCTTTCATCATCATCAGTCAACACTCTCCCACACAATGACTGCTCCATGTCCCTAGCTCTCCCTCTCTCACTTTATACCATGCCACCCAATTCAAACAAACAATATATTTCCTTGACATGATATTATTTATCCTCCATTCATTCTCTCTCTCTCTGTGAATCTCTTTCCCACGCTCACACAAATGCACTTCACGTTCCCACCACCACCCATCTTCCCACCACCACCACCTCCATTGCCCATGCCCTAATTCCAACACATGGATCATCAAACACCCACTGCATTCATCCATTCATTCTCTCGCATTTTGCATCCCTATTAAAACCCTAACTAACTCTTCTACAAGTTTCCCCGTTGTTTTCCACTCTCTTGACTACTGCATTTGCTAAACATGGTTGCACCCGAGAGCTTGACCTTGGTAACTAGTACATCTTGTTTTATTGCGAATGATATGCGTGTTAATCAAGAAACTGGTCGCTATATAGTCTCTCTCCGAGAAGGGTTATTTTCCTTTTTGGCATATATATGCGCGTTATTAATGGGGGTTGGGTTTCTGTTTTTTTGAGTGCAGACGGACAAGGCGTCATTGCTGGCGGAGGTGATCCAGCACGTGAAGGAGCTGAAGCGGCAGACGGACGTAATAGCCGAGACCACCCCGGTCCCGACGGAAGTGGACGAGCTGACCGTCGACGCCAACTCCGACGAGGACGGCAAGTTCGTCATCAAGGCCTCCATCTGCTGCGAGGACAGGTCGGACCTTCTCCCCGACCTCATCAAGACGCTCAAGGCGCTGCGCCTCCGCACGGTCAAGGCCGAGATCACCACCCTCGGCGGCAGGGTCAAAAACGTGCTCTTCATCACCGCCGACGACGAACAAAGCCAGCAGCAGCAACAGCCGGTGCAGTACTCGATCAGCGCGATCCACGAGGCGCTCAAGGCCGTGATGGAGAGGAGTGGCGGCGGAGGGGATGATTCTTCTTCCGGGAGTGTCAAGAGACAGCGTACTAACAACAACAACAACAACGTTAACAACAACATCATCGAACAGCAACAACATCACAGGTCTCTATGACGTAACTCTCTTTTGGTGCATGGGGGGAGTGTTTTATTAATTATGGGTTCAGTGGAGTGTGGGAGGTCTCTCTATGATTTAGAAAAAAAGGAGACACCTCTCCCACGGTGTCAAATGTCTTTTTTCTTTGGTTCAGTTTGTGTGGTGTGGTGTGGGTTTTCTTCTTCTTCTTGGATTGTGTTTTTTTTGTTTTTCTGGGTTTTGGATTGGCAGTGAAGGAAACAGCAGGTAATGATGAATGCAACATATAGAGGGAGAGAGATATAAATGAAATACTACTAAGGGTTGTCTACGTACGTACGTAGGAAACTTAATTTGTTTCTTCTTGGCGTTGAAATGATGAGAAGTGACGATTTCTCGAAGAGGGAAGAAGAAGAAGTCTCTGGTGGGTGTTTTTCATTTGTGTGTTGGTTTGCAAGGAAAAAAGGTTATTTACGTACTTCTACTCTCAGTTGGTTGGTTTTACAACTCTTCTTCTTTCTTCTTCTTCCACCACCACCACCACCGGTGGAATATCAGAAATCCTCTTTTGGTTGTGATTTGGCTTTTAGCTTTTGGAGTTCAATTTTGTCTGAGTGGGGTTGGAAAGAAGGGGCAAGAGAGAGAGAGAGAGAGAGAGAGAGAGAGAGAGTAATGGGATGATCAAAACATAAGATCATGGTGACGATGGAGTTGCCGTCATGTTCTAAGCCTTCTTCCTCCAAACAAACAAACGATAACCATACTTTACGTCCCCACCACCACTAGCTATAGTTTCCTCTCTTTTTTTTCCATTTTCTTATCAGTTGGGATGCTTGTGTGTTTATGAGATCATGGTGACGATGGAGTTGGCGTCATACAATTCCGGAACTGAAATTCCATCCTGCTTGTAATGACATGAGGGAGGCTCTCACTACACCCCACAATCATAATCATGCAATGCAAGTACTAGTGCGACTAGCTGCCACTGTTTTCTCTCTGGCAGTACTACGATTGCTAGCTCTTCGGCCAAACTACATCACGATCATCATCGTCTTACACACAAGACACATATGAACAGTTGTTTTCAAAGGAAACCCTAAACTGACAGTGGGGATTTCGTGTTGCCTGAGTTGCGTATGTAATATTCTAATTTTGGCGATCTAAATCTGCTCTTCCTTTCCTCTCAAGTTTTTGTTCTCATACCCAAGAGAGAGAGAGAGAGAGAGAGATACGTTATATATGTTGAATTCATGAGCTTGCTCAGAGAAGAGGATGCTAAGCTAGCCATCGATTGCCCAATACAGATACTACTTGTTTGTGGATGTGAGGGATATATTAATAGTGTGCGTGGTCCAGATTAATATGGGTATGTGGTTTCTTGTTTAGTGACTCTGGTCTGTTTGATAGTGTCATGAAATGATGGGTTGCTCTGAAAATTTCATCGTTTTCATTGGTGTAGACTGTAGATAGTCATGGGTTTATTGGCTAATGTATTAAGGCTGCTTAGGCATTGTTCGAAATAAGCCCATCATCAACTCAATACTTAATTATTCTGGAGAAGCTGGCTGTGCATGCTAGCTCTAGGATTTTGGTTATTTTGGTTGAGTCATATTACAATCTCTGGGAAGTATAATTAAAAACAGTAAACAATTGTATCTTTTCTTTTGGTGATCGAATAGTTTGATTGGCTCGTGCAAGGGATTGTATCTTTTCATATTTGTCCCTTCTTTAATTGACTATATAAACATAACTTTAAGGTTATACTAGTTTTTTGGCCCGCGCTCTGCCGCGGTAAGTACCGCAACTAACGATTTAGTTGATATCTAATAATTCAAAAAATTATTCATATAAGATGTATACATAAATTGCATATAGTGTCTGAATTATTATGAATAATATGAGTCATTCGTTATGAAAGACTTAAAATTGATAAATACAAAATAATTAATTGTCCGTAAGCTTTACGTAGTGTCTTAGTCATTAAGGAAGACTCATGTAACTATTATAGAACATTGTTACATAAATCTTTCATAATATGTGGTCTAATAATAAAATCAAGTTATAGTAAGTAACATGATGAATCTGTAATTTATGTAACTTTTATAGAATGTTGTTACATAAATCTTTCATAATGTTTAATCTAATAACAAAATAAAACTTTTAAAAGTAAGTTATGTCAAAGTTGACTAATCATGAGCTCATGGTAAAATTGGATGTAGGAGATAAAGAACTATTATAGAATGTTGTTACATAAATATTTTATAGGGTGTGGCTAATAATAAAATCAAATTTTAGAAAATAACGTATGATTAAACTGTTTTGTCAAAGTTAACTAATCATGAGCTTATGGTAAAATTGGATGTAGGCGATAACAAAACTGTTATAGAACGTTGTTACATAAATATTTTATAGTGTGTGGTCTAATAATAAAAATCAAATTTTAGAAAATAAAGTATAATTTAAATCTTTAATAATGTGTGGTCTAATAACAAAATAAAATTTTTAAAAGTAACTAACTGTTATGTCAAAGTTAACTAATCATGAGCTTATGGTAAAATTGGATGTAGGAGACAAAAAAAAAATATTATAGAATGTTATTACATAGATATTTTATAGTGTGTGGTCTAATCATAAAATCGTATTTTAGAAAGTAACGTATGATTTAACTATTATGCCAAAATTAACTAATCATGAGCTTACGGTAAAATTGGATATAGGAGATAAAAAAAAACTATTATAGAATGTTGTTACATAAATATTTTATAGTGTGTGGGGTAATAATAACATCAAATTTTAGAAAGTAACGTATGATTAAACCATTATGTCAAAGTTAACTAATCATGAGCTTATAGTAAAATTGGATGTAGGAGATAAAAAACGGTTAAAGGACGTTATTACATAAAAAATTATAGTGTGTGGTCTATTAATAAAATCAAACTTTACAAAGTGACGTATGATGAAACTAATATGTCAAAGTTGACTAATCATGAGCTATCATAAAATTGGATGTAGAAGATTAAAAAAAACTATTATAGAATGTTGTTACATAAATATTTTATAGTGTGTGGTCTAATAATAAAATTAAATTTTAGAAGGTAACATATGATTAATCTGTTTTGTGAAAGTTAACTAATCATGAGCTTATAATAAAATTGAATGTAGAAGATAAAAAACCCCATTATAGAACATTGTTACATAAATATTTATATTGTGCGATCTAATAATAACATCAAATTTTAGAAATTAACGTATGATTTACCCTTATAAAAAAAAGAAATTAACATATGATTTAAGTGTTATGTCAAAGTTAACTAATCATTAAATTATGGAAAAATTGGATGTAGGAAATAAAAAAACTATTATAGAACATTGTTACATATATATTTCATAGTATGCGGTCTAATAATACGTATAAGAAACAACTATTGTACCATAAACTTTATGTCATGTATAATACTTAATATGGTTCCACAATTTTCACATATGCTAAACTATATTATGTATATAAAAAAAGCATTTGTAACTTAGTGATGAAAAGCTTAAAGATCTTGGGGATTGGATAAAAAACTTACTTGAAGTTTCAAGACTCTGAAAATCTTATCGTTCAACATGCAGTAGTCTTCATGCATGTTTCAACAAATAACCAAGCATCTAAATCACATCAAACACCGCTGACCTAAACCCAGTAAGCTTTTGTTCTTATGAAAACGCCTTAAACTTCCACCGTTCCTCGCCAGGCCAGTCCCCTAATCGGTTGGATTCAATTATCAATTCTGCAAAAGATTAATTTTTCTTAAGGAAATGATGCTTGAGAACGGAGAGTTGAAATAGTAAGGAAAATTGAGGCAGCAGAGGAACATATATAACATAATTAGTACCAATCATTAACGATTAGAAGGGAGAGGAAGGGGATCGTGCTTATATTTCGTCGGGGAAAAGAAAACTCGCTCGCCGGGAAGACGGGAATGTAACCGTCGAGACACTGGATTCTTCCAATTCTTAAGTTGTCAATTGGCAGTGTAGAACCATCTCCATCCATCTGCTTCTAGGAATTTAATTTGCTGGGAATTAGAATTGGGATCTCAGAACTCGATTTTGCGCACGAACAAAGAGATGGAGTTTGAGAGTTATTTCTCAAACAAAGAAAGGGTTGGAGATTGGGGGATGCGTTGTGCTTCTTTGTCTGAGCAAAGGAGAAAGGAGAGGAAAGGAATTCAGTGCTTCTAGATTGGCTTGGAGGATAGAGGAGGGATTGGACGGAAAGAAGTGAGAGGAGATGACAGGTCGCACGACGCACGAAACGTAGAAAGAGGAGAGAGAAGCCAATCAAGTACGGGCAATTATTAGTGGGCTCGGGCTGGCAAGGAAATTAACAAAGAAGTGAGAGGAGATGATAGTACACAGAGGTGAGAGGTGAACTCGGGCTCATCAAAACCCGCCCGCAGCAAATACCCGAAATCCCCTTGTGAACAGTAGCTGCGCTTTTCTCGTGAGGAACAGTGCCAGCGTTTTTGGCTGCTTGCGCTTTTAATTAATTAATTAATAAGTCTTTTTGGTTATTAAAGTGAGAATCCTTATATTCTTCAAAAGTGAGAATCACAACTATCAAACAACATATTCTAACAATCATCTATTTCTTACAATCACTACACTTAGAATACATACATTTCAAGAATACACATATTTATAGACTCCCAACTTCCAAACGACGCCTAATATCTTTGTACGATTTTGAGTAACCCGATCACAAAAGTTTCAGAATGGCGACACTAAAATAATTAAAATTAGAATAAAATTAATTAATATTAGTAAAAAATGGCAATCACCCAATCAATTTTTTCTTTTTGGTCATTAGACCACTTTTCAAAAGAGTAAATCGTTCAGATACAATGAGGCAAACAATTAGAGTGAACCCCTGCTACGTAACCAAGCACAGAAATCGAACCTTCTTAACAATGAAGGTGACAAGAACAGAACATGACGAGCCACACAATGAGCCACTCTGTTATTAGTCCTACCAATGAACATAATCCGATAAGAACCACCCATCTCATCCAAGAGTGAGACAACTTGTTGTCCTTGAGAATAGAACCGATCTTGCTATCCGCAGTATCCCGTCCATTGCATTTGTCGATGATGATTTTGGCATCTCCGCAAATGGTAATTTCCGTGAACCCACGCCGACGACATTCGACAATGCAATCCCGTCCCGCAGAGCCAAAGCTTCAATCACATAAGGATCGGTGATGGCATCGTACCGAGTTGCTAGCTGTTGCTCCAATAACAAAACCTGACGCATCAAAAGATGACAACACTTGCAGAACCACAACCCGCGCGCTGCACAAGTTGCACCATCAAACGCTGTCGAAAGCCCCTGCACCACACCAGAAGCCGGCACTGGCGACAAGGATGGCGTCCGCTGTGGAACTTGTGGGGAAACCAATAGAGCTTGATCAACCTCCTTAACTTGATACATACAACCATTGATTATCCAGGGAATCAAGACGCAGTTGCTTAGCTTGGAAAACAACCAAACATCAATTTTTCCACAGCGGCCAGAGCAAACAAACCACCTGCAAATTTTTTGAAATCTGCATCCGGTTAATCACCCGGCCAATTGCTAGTGGTTTCTCGGAAGTAATTAATCATCCGGCCTAAATTTTGTTTCTGGTCAGGACTAGGAATGTTAAATGGGACACAAAGCCCAACATCAAGTTCAGGAGCCGACAGGCCAAAAGAATAAAACTAAACCGGGCCAAATAATTCTGGAGAGAGTGGATATGGGCCCTACTGCCGCGGACTTGTCCCCTGGCTGAAGTTGTGCTGGAAAGGGAAGACAGGCTCGGTTGGAGCCATCATTTTGTAAAACCGTATGGTCTTTGGTATAAGACTAGTGGTAGAATTGTTGTTCAATCGATGACATGTCAATGTAATGTTATCGTTAAAATAAAATACAACAATATATTTAATTAACGATAGTTTGTTGTAATACTTTCAAAATTGGTTTTATTAGTGGTTGTTAATTTATTTGACTGAGATGTTTCTACAGTGAATCCGAGCTTGGATTAATGTCGTGCGGACATCTCTGGAGAAGGATAGGCTCGTTCATACGCCTATCTTGCCCACAAGAACGGAGGTCGAGATCTCACGGAAACCGCCGCCTCCCGAGTGGGTCACTCTCAACTCAGACGGTTCAGTTAATCAGGATACTGATCACGCTGCTGGTGGTGGCCTGATTCGAGATCACAATGGGCGCTGCCTGGCGGCTTTCGTCTGTAACTTGGGTTATTGCTCCATTACCCAAGCCGAGTTGAGAGGAGCCGTGGAAGGTCTTCAGTTGGCTTGGAACCTTGGTTATCGTCGTGTTCGTGTTGAGCGAACTCGAGATGTGCTATTCATTTGCTTGAGAGCAGGAGCACGGTCACCCACCATCATACGGCCGTTGTGGCCCGTTATCAGGAGCTTATGCGCCAAGGTTGGGAAGTTACCACCTCCCACATCTATCGTAAAGCCAACAAATATGTTGATTACTTAGCTAACCATGTGCATTCTTTGTCGCCGGGTGTACATGACATGACTCATTCAGTTCCTCTTTTGTATAACTTTCTCATGAATGACTTTCAGGGGCTCTCTGAACATAATTTGGTTTTGAATGAAACCTAGGATGCATTGCATCCATTTAAAAAAAATATATTTATGTATTGTACAAATCTGGACGACAATTCCTTGGGTAGAATTTGGAATGGGAAAGGTTTGGCCAATCTGGGTCCAAAGGCCTCAACTGTCTAAGCCGAAAGCCCAACCCATGAATGGCTGCTGCATCTGATCTCTTCTTCTTTTTTTTCATTTTATTAATTATGCATCCACTTATTATCAAAACCAGTGAATAAATGTGTAGTGATCATCTGAAGCTCAAAAATTGATTTCTCCATGTGCAAACTCGTCCGTTGTCAGAGGAAAAGGACCAATTTTTCAACTCAAAGACAATCAGAAAATCCAAGAAATTCCTGAAATCATATATTAATATATATTATATATTTCTTTCAGATTTCAACATTTGAATCGCAACAATTTTGTAATTAAAAAATCTCCAATCATAAACAAAAAACATAAATAAAATAGTGAGAACAAGAAAAACCATCTCCGACACCGTTTTAGACTTTCAAGGCCGAGCACATCCACGGCGTGAAAAACCGAGCCGGGACCTGTCCCTATCGAACTCCAACAAAAATCCTTGCTGCATTAGATTCCCCATCACCCCAAAACCTCCACCTTCCCCAACAGGTTGAATCGCCAGGCACGCCACTCCCTCGCTCGTCTCGATGAAATAGTTCCCCGGCGGCGGCCCAAACACCGCCCGGCGGCCCAGAAGCTCGAAACTCATCCTCGGGAAGTCCGGCCTGCCCACCCCGGACACGTTCACGCACAAATCGAACCCGGGTGTCGGATCCTCCGCACCCGGCAGCTTGACCCGGCTTTGAAACGCCTTTAAAATCTCCCCGTACGCCGATTCGGGTACGAAAGTCAGTGTGGTACCCGAATCGACCACCATCCCGCCGTTCCCCTCCTCGTCGATCGACCACACGGAAGGGTCGATCGGTAATTTCACCCCGTCGACGGACACGCTCCGGATCCCGATGTAGTAAAACGTTGGGGACAGTGGGTTGGCGATTAACGGAGTGTAGCACATCGCACCCGTCCGCGAAACGTTTCGGGTTTGGGAATCGCCGCCGATCATGAGGTAGCTGGTCGGCGGCGGGGCGAGGGTGTAGTCACGGAGGCAGTAGGAGAATTTGTTATAGCCAAAACGGCGGCCGAGCTGAGAGGAGAACGAGATAGGGCCTCTCCCCAGCCCCATTACCCCCTGGGCGCCGTTGAAGCTCCGACCCGTCACGCTGGGACCCGAGACCCGGAACCCGCACCCGAACGCGAGATTCTTCAGCTTCGTCTCCCCCAATGCGCTCGTATTGAGCGTCGTGGTCTCTCTGGAGAAGAACCCGCTGGTCAGCGACCCGTCGGAGTACTGGTACTCGTAGCGGCAGGGGCTGTGGAGCCGGGTCAGGTTGCATCGGGTCGGATCCGGGTGCGGGACGAACCGGCAGAGGCGGTTGAAGCAGTGGGCAGGGGAGAAAGTGGAGGAATGTCGGGCGAGGAAGGTGGATCCGGGGGAGTGGTGGGAGCAGTTGCGGCAGGCGGTGCATTTGACCCAGATCAGGTCGCTGCCGGTGTCGGTGACGAGGAGGAGGGTTTGGGGCGGGGAGCCGAGGCGGAGGGAGACGAAGTACTGGCCGGAGCCGGAGGAGGCCCCGGAGACGAGCGGCGATCTGAGGGAGGGGTGGCGGCGGCGGCGGTGGCTGTGGTGGAGGAGGGAGAGGCGGCGGGCGTCGAAGGAGAGGGCTTGGAGTGGGGTGGAGAATGGGGGTTTGTGGAGCAATGGGAGCTTGAGGAAGTAGTCGTGATTCGGCCGGGCGGCGGCGGCGACGGTGGTGGTGGGTGGGTAGATTGAGTGGAGGAAGAGGAAGAGGAAGAGGAGGAGGGAAGAGAAGGGGGACAGCGACACCATTGCTAGCTGGGTTTTGGAAAGAAGGGGATGGATGGTCCAGTGGCAGAGGAGGAGGAGGAGGGGAGAGTGGGTTGGGGGAAATTGGCCGTACTTATGCTTGTGTGTGTATTTATGTCGTCTTCTTTATGTTTTTTTGGTGGGAGCTGCGACGCGACCTGTGCCGTTAGTCTGGTTTCATGATCGACAAAGGGGAAATCGGATCCTAAAAATGACGATTAAACTCTAGAACCCTAAGTAGGGGTTTAATTAACTAGTTAACTAATTGTTTAGATATGGGAAATGGAACCCAATCTGCTAATGGTGGTGCGGTGACGGATTGAATTTAGGGGTTGTTTGCTTGTTGGATTTGAAAAATGAAGGTTTTGTGCAACAAAAACCTTGGGATTCATGAGGGATTTATTGTATTATGGATTTGAAAAGTCTAGTGTTTGCATGATAGAATTGATAATGGATTTATGATGGATTTGTCACATAAGCAACTAACAACCATCATGGATTTACAAATCCCAAACAAATATGTGGGATTTACAAGTCCGTGGGGTCCACGGATTTGGTCCCAAATTAAAGACCAAATCCGTGGACCCCACGGATTTGATACCCATCAACAAACAATGGACTTGTGTTAAATCCATCAAACTTGGGATTTAGGTACCAAATCCATGACCCAAATCCAACAAGCAAACGACCTTAATCAATCTAAACCCGGCCAAAAAGGAGAGTTTCCCTTTTGGATACTTTTTATTATTTCCACGGGCCATAATCGTTGGTGGGCCGGCCGGGCCTGGGTGAGGGAAAGGAGAAGGGCCAGGTTCGACCAAAACGCTTACAGGCCCAACTGATTTGCCATTTGCCTTAAGACAAGGAAACCGAATCCCAAACCAACTAGTAAACGATTACTTCCTAGACAAGACATAATATAATAATACGAATAACCAACTAATAACCGAATATTCCTAACGATAATTAATACGAAAGACTAATAATAATAATACTAATAATTCTAGATGGCTGGCGGAAATATAATGCACCAAAAAGTTGTCAAATAGTCTCGAAATTCAAATACTATCATAGCTAAAACAAAATTTTACACAAACTTTCAGTCTAAAATTTTGATCTAAGGTTTATCGACAATCCATTCGTTCACTTGAATCTGCCCCTGCAATAAGCCATCTCTAAAGCTTAGCCGAAGGTGTATGAATGGAAGCTGCTAGAATATGCTCAGTTCAAAGAATAAGAACCCATTGAACGGCAAATATGAGAGAGATACATGTGTTTTCCGGCGAGAAAACTTGCCCTGAAATGAGATTAATGCACCTTTGACTTCTTTGGACAACAATTTCTAAGACACGTCTCACACCTCTTCAAACAAAGTTCGAACGAGGGTGTTTGATTAATGGTTTCTGGGAATGAAAATCTAAATTAAGTTACTCCTACTCCTATGGAGGTTCATCTAGAGCTCCAAACTACGACTATGGCTACATTTGCAGAGAAAAGATAAAAACTTGATGTAGGCGTCAGTTGTGTGGTTTTGGGAACCCTTGTCTCTGTCGACCCCTGCTCCTATTTATAGCCATGAGGAGGTAACCGCCGCAGGAAACTACCTCTTGGATAACTCCCAAAAAGAAACCGCTCCCTGCTTCTTCGGACATGGCTAACGTGTCCCTTGAAGTGGTATGACTAGCAGTTCATCTCTCAACTGCCTAAGTACCCCTCTTGAAAATCGTCGCTCTCTCGGAAACCGTTGTTGAATCTTGGAGTACAACTTGCCTCACTTGGTCTTGTTCCAGATCTTGTGCCACGCTAGTCATTTGACGAGCATGTAGTGTCTCGCAAAGGGGTCGGGGTCCTCTTGCTTCATGGTCATGGACTTCTTACTCATGTACATGGCCCTCTTGGAACTTAGTCACTAGTGATATAACGCTCCACCACCACACCCTTCTCTTCGTGTCCATGGCCACTCTCGTGAGGTGGCATAGACCTCTCAATCATGCACATGGCCCCTCTCATGAGGCGGCATGGCCTTCACAGACTTAGTATTTTCAATCGTGTCTAATGCTTCTTGCTTCGCGTCCATGGCCATCACATGACACGGCTATGGACCTCTTAATCATGCAAGTGGCCCTTCTCCTGCGCCGGCATGACCTTCTCAGACTTGGAATATTTTTCAGCCATGCCTAGGCCATCTTGTCTCGTGTCCATGCTCCTTCTCGTGACGCGGCATGGACCTCTCAGACTTAGTCATTTTTTGTCTCCTTTTATAGATGGCGTGTGCTTCCAGATTCTAGATGGCCAAGGCCCTCCTCATTGAAGCGGCACGTGCTTCTCCTGGAAGCGGCATGTACTTCTTCCAGACTTAGTTTATTTTTCAGTCATTCGGTCTTGGTCGTGGGTCGGCATGTGTTGCCTCTTGTTCGCATCCATGACCCTTCTCGTTTAAGCGGCACATGCTTCTCCGGTCTTAGAATATTTTCGTACACTGGAAGTGACTTGGGGAATGGCTCTTCTCGTTGAAGAGGAACATGCCTCTCCGGACTTAGAATATTTTGTACACCGGAGGGGGGCATGATCACGTCCATGATGTCTTCCTTGAGATGACATGGGCCTCTAGATTCTAGACAGGCATGACCCTCCTTGATGAAGCGGCACGTCTCTCTCCAGACTTAGAATATTTTTGTACAATCTCGTGGCACGACATGGCCTCTTACGAGAGGCCCACGTCCCTCGTTGAGTCGTGTTCATGCTCATTAATGCCTTAGTGGCTTGGGCTTAAAATCAATATCCATAAGGCCAACTTAAACAACATTAATTGTTAAAATTAATGTGACCTTATAAATTCCTTGATTATCTTGTAACTCAACAATGTGGTACAAGACAAATTTTATGGTGTAAACAAATGCCCCCAACTACTTAGTGCATAAAAATTATGGACTAAGTAGTTAAACACCACATATAATTCCAACACATGCCATCTCTTTACTTAGCCAAATTTGGGTTTAACATCAAGCCAATACGGCCGAATGAAACTCGGCGTCAAAATTTGTCCAATGCCTTGGCCATATTTTGGACATCATGTCAAACCAACATGGCGAGATGGAACTCGAAGTCAAAGCTTGTCCCATGCCTTAGCCAAGTTTTGGCTTTTAATGATCAAGCCAACACGGCCGGATGAAACTCGCCGTCAAAACTTGTCCCATGCCCTAACCAAATTTTGGCTTTTATGAAAAAATTGATGTCCCTTACTCTAACCCTCTTGAATTTGACTCAAAAGCCCTTATTGCCATGTTTCAAATCACCATGCCCCCAGGTCATAGCTACCTGAGAGGTTGAGACAAGATAACATAGCATGGCACGACCTTATATATGCCTCAAACGGCTAAACCATCACAACGACTTGGTGGCAAGATCCTTAAATCGAAGTTCTTCTCCATTATTATTTTGTTAAGCCATGATTGGCATTTATTATTTAATATATATTTTTATATAATTTATTTATTTAATATGGCAAGGAGTGTTGCGGTCGTTGCTCTCCATAGCCTTTGGCAACAACCAATGCACCAAAGGTGTACATCCACTTTCCCGTTCATGGATCAAACCAAGCAAACCATCCATATACCACATGACTCTTTGCCTCCATGGGAGATGGCTCCCCATACATTGGTTTTGAATTTTTCATCTTACCAATGGAAGGTACATGATCGACATGTCTTGTCTTGGTGGCCTTGCATGAAGTATCATGCTCATCTGCCTTAGCCACCTCATGCCTTACTTTATGAGGCCTACTAGACCTTTTCAACTCCCTTGGATCATGAAGATGATCATGAGTTTTTCTCTGTCTTAGTTATCTCCTAGTTGATACATGCTTATTCTTCTCATGTTGTTGGAGGTAATGCCTAGACTTGACAAGTCGGTGACCACCCAGGTGTCCTACTTGACCATGTCTCTCAATATCTAAACCTTCTTGGCTTACATACTTAGCACACAACCAACTTTGGTTGTTTAAGCCGTCATGTTTAGTTGGTGGCTTCTTATACATGCCTCCTTGTCCACTCTTTGTGGTTGGTGACAAGTACTCACTACTCACTGACATGGACTTGGCAACCTGTCTGTACTTAGCCAAATTTTCTTGTTTGTCACAAGCATGTGTGGCTTGGACTTCTTTTAGCTTCTTGGACATGCCCCTACCCCATTATTCATGGTGGGTGACATGCATCCTTTCTCATACTTAGCTATATTCGTAAGACTACGATAACTCTTTTTGGCTTTGCCACGTCTTTCCTTGTTGGACTTGCCCCCCATGCCCACTGTTTGTGATTGATGGCATGCCCTTTTGTCCAGACTTAACCATATTTTTACACTTACAAAAACCATGGTTAGGTTAGACCTGTTGTGTCTTTCTGGACATGCCCCCTACTCCATTATTCATGGTGTGTGATATGTCCCTCTGTTCAGACTTATCCAAACTAGCATGTTTATCACATGGATGTGTGGTTTGAGCATCATGTGGCTTGTTGGACATGTCTTGTCCATACAATAATCTTTTGTGGCTTTCTCACGTACTGACTTGTTAGATATGCCCTCATGTCCACTACAAGTGGTTGGAGGCATGCCCCCTTTTAGGAGTTAGCCAAATTAGTATGCTTATCACAAGCATGTGTTGCTTGTGATTGATGTGGCCTCTTAGACGCCACATGCCCCCTAGACAGACACGTCAATGTAAGCTTGTGGGATGGTAGAGCTTCATGCCCCTCTTGTTGGACTCTAGGTGGTTTGAGTCCATTCAAATCCGATCATTGCCTACTCATTAGGGGGTGGCATTGGGGGTGGGAGAGCAAACGATGCTACTCGATCCAATTCGCATAAATCTCCACCACGTATTTCATTGAAAGGTGTCATAACTTGTCTAATAATGGATGGTTGAAAACCACCTCGTACAGATAAGTCCCCCTCGTGGGTGTTGAATGAGGAGGCAGACCTCTCACAACAACTCTCACGATGAATGG